ACAAACAAACAAACAAACAAACAAACAAATGCAAAATCCTTTTTTTTTAATAACGGGTTTTCATAGTCAGACCATACATATGACAAGCCCGCTTGAAAGCACACTATACTACAGGAAGAAAGAAGCCCTGTTACAAAAGTCCTTAACGCTCACATTCAAACCACATCAACTAGCATAAATCTGTTCCTCCAAGACACAACACTACTGTCCCAATAAAACAACACAAAAAACCTCAGACCTTCTCGACCTTCAATACTGCACCTTGACTATCAATGGCAATTGTTTTCTTCTGGGTTGACATTTTCACCGGGCTTTCGGCCTCAAATATCTCATCAAGCTCTTCAAGCTACGGACTCAATTAGCTAAATGGACTGAAATATGGTGCTGGGGACAACTTACAGTTCGGCCTTTGGTCTCGGGGATGAAGACATAGATTAGAGCAACTTGGACAAGATCCCAGATGGTAAAAATAATGTATGTCTTCCAACCAATTTCCTTCATGGCAACAGGCCAAGCAAACTGGTTCAGCAGGCCAGCAGCATTGACAGCAAGGTTGGAAAAGGCCATTCCCTTGGCACGCATCTCGAAAGAGAGCACTTCGACAGGGTAAAGAGCCTGGAGGGGTGTGATTCCAAACGAGAAGACGGCGCCAAAGATGAATACCATGGATAAAGCCGCCTTGGATGCGGTAGTATTGGAGTAGATTGCTTTTCCATCCGCATCAGTACCTACGTAAGACTTGGAGAATTCGGACGACGCGATGGTCATGCCCAGCCAGACGACGGTGCATGCGGAGAAGGAGAACAACAGAAGAGGACGACGTCCGATCTTGTCAACGAGGCAAGCACCGAGAATGGCCCAGATGAACTGTTGGCAGTAGTTGAGCAACGTGATGTTGGCCTGCTCAATCGTTCCAGTGTAGCCAGCCGTCTCGAGCACTGCACCGAGAAAGTAGGAAAGCACTGCGTTTCCTGCCCATTGGCTGAAGATGGAGATGGCCAAGTTGCAGGAGAGACGGTAGACAGCAGCTCTATCACGAAAGAGAGCACGGTAGTCCCACCATCGCTTGTCGCTGCCATCCAAGTTCAACGACTCTTCATATTCCGCAATTTGAAGTTTGACCCAGGGTGACTCTGAGTTTCCGTGGCCGTGGTATCGTGTCAAGATGGCTTCGGCAGCCTCCCTCTTGTTGTGGACATAGAGCCATCGCGGGGACTCGGGTAGAAGCAGACTAAAAATGACGATGAGGCCAGAGCACAGAGCTTGGAGCCAGGTGATGAGCAGCCACGAGTAGTCTCCTCCCGTATTTAATCCAGCTCGAGCGGATCCGGCGGCGATGATAGCTCCTGAGAACCATAAGGTGTTGTACATGGCTGGTACATGAAGATGTCAGAGATGCAGACGACGACCGATGGGACAATTACTTACCTCCAACACGCCCACGGTACGCTGGATGGTTAATCTCAATGACGTACATGGGTCCTGCAGAGGCTGCGAGCGACACGCCAAAGCCCAACAAAAAACGCCCTCCCATGAACTGCCCTGAGGAGTGGGACAGGCCTTGAATGATGGTGCCAACAACGATGATGACAGAGCCAGAGAGCATTCCAACTCTTCGACCGAAGCCATCGAGAACGGGACCAACAAAGGGTAGCGCAACAACACCTCCAATCTGGTACATGGCTGAGACGATGCCTGCCCAGATGCCGCTGCTCTCAACACCGTATTTATCTCGAAACCAGGGGTTCTGAAGGAGGTTGTTGATCAAGCTTCCGTCGTAACCGTTCATTGTGCTGCAGAGGAAGCCGACGAAAGAGAAGCAGTAGATCAAGATCTGACCCCGACTCCATGCCGAGGGAGGATCCTCAATCATCGCTTTGGCGAAAGCTTCGTTGCCCGCGACCACTTTGGTCTCCTTCACCTCTTTGAGGTCCTGTCAAGCAATGGATCAGCGTCTATCAAATGAACAAACCCGAGAGGATATCATCGAGGAAATAATCATACAGTGCCGTCTTCATTGTGTATGTGTGTCTGGACCTTGTCCTCCATTACAGCGTTCCCCAAGATTAGTTTGTCAATATCAGGTGTTACGTTTTCAATAAAGGAGCCTTGTTAAAGAGGTATTGTTGGATGGAAGAAATTGTAATTGATGGCTTATCTCGCAAGCATAGGCTCGGGAAAATGCTGCAAAGACAAATAAATAGATCCCCATTTTATACTTTAATTAAATGGGACTGTCGCGGCATCATATGGATACCGGTATGTCGATGATACAACAGTCCGATCGCACCATGTGAGTTGCGGGGCCAATCATGGTCTAGACTGAATGGTAATAAGAAAGGATGTGTTAGTTCCTGCCGAGCTGCTGATCGAATAGCAGTGAAGCAGCATTTGATACGATAGCGCTAATTGTTGGTGTAGTTGCTCTGTGGGGTATGGCGTGAGTAGCCCGGGCCATGGCCTGAAACGGCGACGGAAGAGCTCGTTCCGCGGCTCATGAATGCCCACGTCCCGTACCAAAATTCGGAAACTAGCACGGAGATTGGTGGCACCGGCCAGGTCATCCCCATGACTAAAGTCAACCATGCAATGTATTATAAGCAGTTCACAAACAAGCCATTAGAAAATATCATTGCTCCCAGCATCCAAACTCATTGTCACGATTCGAATGCGAAAGATCATTCATACATATTTGGCACTGGTATCTATCGACAAACGAATCTAGCCAACAATATTTGCTGTCCTGATCATGATGCCTCCCATTGCACAAAGAACTCTGCTTGAGAAGGGGTGGTCATTCAAGAAAGCAACAGATGATCATGATGCATGGAAGCCTGTGGCCAGAGTGCCCACGGTTGCCCATATCGACTTGATTGACAACGGAATGTTAGTATACAACGTTCTGCATTCCTCCAGGTGCTGATCAATGAGCTCTCTAGCATTCCTGACCCATTTCTCAATATGAATGAGCTCGAAGTTGAGTGGGTTGGGGAGACGGCTTGGACTTACCGCACTACTTTTGACTCGCCGTCTGCCAACAGTAGATCAGTGTATCTTGTCTTCGAGGGTCTTGATACCTTTGCTCAAGTCAAGCTCAACGATGTCATAATACTCGAGAGCGATAACATGTTCCTCAGCCATCGCGTTGATGTTACTAACAAGCTTTCGAATGAGGGCCCCAACGTGCTGAGCATCGACTTCGACAGTGCACTACTAAAGGCCCGGGAGATTAAAGAGCAATATCCTGATCATCGATGGGAACTCTTCAATGGAGAGGCCGGACGCTTGGTTGTGAGAAAGGCTCAATACCACTGGGTACGGACAATGAAAGGATGACAAGAGAACTTTTGCTAAAGAAACATGCAGGGATGGGACTGGGGTCCAGTGCTTAACACCGCCGGTCCATGGAAACCAGTCTGGCTTGAGGTGTCATCTGCTCACATCAATGACTTCCTCCTCAAGTACACTGTCTCTCCAGATCTCGACAAGATCCAGGGCACGGTAGAAGTCGACATTGAGGGGCTGTATGACACGGCAAATGTCTCCATCAACTTTCAAGACGACGCCGTTTACACTACGACAGCTGCCAAGTCTTCTGACGGCCGTCTGGTTATCCCTTTTGCTATAGGTACTAAACCATAAGCTTGTTTTCACGGTCCAAATTCTAACAATCGCCGATTAGATCAACCCAAGCTATGGTACCCTGCTGGATACGGCCATCAGCCTCAGTACAGCGTGAGCGTCAGTATTGTCAAAGACAGCCAGAAGCTTGATGCAAAGACCAAGAAGACTGGTTTTCGGCGAAGTGAGCTTGTTCAAAAAGGCGACTCTCATGGAAAATCGTTCTTCTTCAGGATTAACAATATCGACATATTCTGCGGCGGCTCGTGCTGGATCCCCGCCGACAACCTTCTACCTCGAATTACTACCGCCAAATACCGAGATTGGTTGAAGCTTATGATAGAAGGCAATCAGATCATGACGAGGTGAGAGATCATTTATGAGCTTTTGTGCTTGACATGGAATCACTGACACGATGGAATTCAGAGTTTGGGGCGGTGGCATCTATGAAGATGATGCTTTCTATGACTGCTGTGATGAGATGGGCATCCTTGTTTGGCAGGACTTCATGTTTGGGTGCGGTAACTATCCTGTAGGGCCATCACTCATAAAATCGATCCGCGAGGAGGCAGTGCAGAACGTTGGCCGACTGCATCACCACCCTTCTATCGTCATCTACGCCGGCAATAACGAGGATTACCAGGTGCAGGAGCAAGCAGGTCTCGAGTACAATCCAGACGACAAGGACCCTTCCTCTTGGCTCAAGTCCTCTTTTCCTGCTCGGTACTACTACGAGTATCTTTTACCGGAGGTGGTCAATGAGGTATCTCCAGGGATGATCTACTGGCCTGGATCACCATTCTCCGGAGGTAAAGACACTGCAGACAAGACTACTGGAGATCTCCACCAATGGAATGGTATGTGACTAGTTTCATCTTCTTTCTGCTCAATTACTAACATCTCCACAGTCTGGCATGGTACACAGGAGAAATATCAGGTCTTTGACAGGTTGGGTGGCAGATTCAACAGCGAGTTCGGCATGGAAGCTTTCCCAGCCTTG